TAACTTAAAATACATTTAGGTCTTCCCACATGTCTCTCAGACACTGCTCATACACTCAGATATTTATTCATGCTGTTCTGAATTTACCTCCACCACCATCTGCTGCTATTAATTGCACATTCAACCCTCGTGCAGACTGGATAACACCGCTCTTAGAAATTCAAATCATAGGATTTGCCCACTTTTTCAGTCAAGCCCACTGGCTATTTGATTGATTATGTGGCTCCCTGAGAGGCACAAGATGATAAATGCACGTGGACTGTTTTACATGTCCACCTTGTTCACATAGATGAAAAATGTCAAATGTGGCCTTTTAAAGAAGGTTAGCTCTCGATATAAAAATGCGGCGGTGGAATCACTCAAACGCAGAGACACAGTCGTCGTGTATGATTTTAGATATTGACTGAAGTGTGTGTGTTGTCTGATTTGTGTCTTGTGTGTGTGCGTGCGTGTGTGTGAGAGAGAGAGAGAGAGAGAGAACCAATACCTCAGTTGAGCTTCATAGTCTCTCATGACACATAAATGATGTTAAGTGCATGCATGACCTCCAAGGTTCAAAGACATTAGCATTTACAGATTATTGCTTTGTGCTATAATTCACGACATTATAGCATTTATAGCCTCGATGTCGCCTTGAGTCAAAGCGGCTACATAAATACAAACACGAACACACATTCGCACAGACTACAAACGCACTCTGAGAGCATCATAGTGTAAACACAGTGTGAGCCATCTTTAAAGGTTGACTGAAGAACAAAGGCAGTTATGGTAATGACGCTAGAGACTTCAATGGGTACAGATGCAGAGTGAGAGGGAGGGGATTATATATACCTGGCCAATGTTTCCCTCTGTGAAGTTCACAAGGGGGCTCAACAGTCCTGTCTGTTTATATCACCAGCCCTTTGAACTGCTCCTAAGAGTCATTGCTCATCATGCTGATAACTGTCCTCAGCAGTATGTGGACTGCATGGACAGAGGCAGGGTCTCCGAGTAGACCAGGAGGGCAGTGTAGCGGACGATATAGAAACCACTGCGTGTGATGTCTGCATGCAGCCTGATAATGATGTTATTTGATGTATGCATCTGCTACGCAACACTGCATGTGATACAAAGGGATCCAGCTGATGTGTAGAATGTATGAGAGTTACTCCCAGAAAGACAGAGGCATCGTTCCTGTTTCACGCTGTTTCGGTTTTACTTTAAAACTATAATCAGGAGCAGATGGAGGTGTCAGGAACTGGTGATTGTTTTAAAATAAGACAGAAAGCTTGAAACAGCGAAGATGTCTCTGCCTTTTTGGTAATAACTTTACTCTTATGCTGAATGTGGTGGTTGCAAAGGTTCAGTACAAAGTTGTGTGTTTTTGACGGGAGTGATGATAATGTAGCCAGCTGGAACCGACATTGTGGGGCAGTTGGTCTGGCCAGACCTGTAAGTCAGTGTGCGGACAGTGATTAAGAAGTAAGAGGCACCTGTTGGCGAGTTGCGTGCATGCCAAAGTAACATAAAAAAAACTGCCTCCATTATAACAGCAGAAACTGAACGCGTCATTTTAAGTGTTTGTCATGTGAGATTAACAAAGATGGATTTGGGACAGTGGGTTAGGGAACCTTGGGCTACATTAGGTTAGTATGAAGCTACAGTCAGCAGCTAGTTAGCTTAGCATAAAGACTGGGAACTGTCTCTGTCTGAGGATAACAAAATCCACCTCCCATCACCTCTAAAGCTCACTAATAGTGAGTGTAAAAACTGTACATATGACAAGCTGTGGTTTTACTGATGGTTTATGTGCCCGACACATTAACATGTTAATGTTTCCAGTTTTTATGCTAAGCTAAGCTAACCGACTATGAATTGTCATTTTAGTCAGTATTAAATAAATAAACAAATACATGAATGAATAAATAAATATGCCTATGAAATAACTCCTGAAAAAAATAAAATATATTATAATAATTATATAAATAAGTGTAAATATAAATAAATAAGTCAATAGTTGAATAAATAAAAAGGTCTTCATTTAAAAAAAACATTTATTTTTTTAATGCCACGTTTATTTCCCAGCTCTTTTTATTTCCATCTTTTATATGCAAATGAAGGTGGCGATGGAGGTTCAGGCAAGGTAGTAGGGAGTTTCCTGATGGACATACTGCGTTACTTAGTGCCAAAGTAATTGCTGTTAGCTATTTAGCTCAGTTAGCCGTGCTGCTGGGTGTCCTTTTTTTTAAATAAAAAACAAAACTAAATAGATTAATTTCTATATTTATATTAACATTTATTGCCTCATTTATTTATTTTAGGATTTTATTTGTAGCCATATATTTTTATGTATTTAATATTGACTAAAATGCCTTTCCATAACTGACTGCTAGCTCCAGCTTCAGATTCACAGTACAGACATGAGAGCAGTATCTTCTCATCTAACTCTCAGCAAGGTCGAACTATTACCTTGACGTACTTTTTAGAGTTGAACATGAATCCTTTTTTCTGCATCTACATAAAAATGAATGTCAAACTACTTCCTTTGTTTCTGTCCTGGCTCCACATTATAATGTGCTCGTCTTGGAGAAATGCATTTTTCCAATTTAATGAAAGGACACTGTTTGTTCCTTTTCAGACATCATGTATATTTCATAACATTTTGTGAGAGCGGGCTGTTTCTTTGTCTTACTTACTGGCAAAATCCATTTTGAATCATCATTATGATATAATGATGAAAGGAATAACTTAAAAACAAAGCTACATAGCCTGCCATTTGCTCAATTGTGTAGTTATAAAAGGTGTAGTGGGTTCAAATGTGGCCTGACATTAGGGTGAGCCAAACATGTGATAGTCTATCAAAGAAAGGATGCTCTAAGTAAGTAAAGTACAGCATGACAAAGCTAATAATTTGAATGTTTTCTTGATTTTAAGCAGAGTTGTAGAGCATCTCTATCATGCAAACAATATGCTTGTATCCTCTCAGTGTTTGACTAAGCAGAGACTGAGTAGAAAAAAAGTGGTTGTACCCTGAATTGAAGGTGAAAAACGCAGAGAAAAAGCTGCCAGCGGTTTCATAATGTGAAAAATCCATGAATACAAATTGGATTCCAGCTTAGTGGAACATTCGGTATATGGTTAAGACATAAGGGATTTAAAATTTTCAATAAAATAAGCATTTTATTGTGATTACAACTTTCTTTGTTCTTTGTTGGCCTCTTGACTGTCACCGGGGGGATAATAAAATGAAATTATGCAAATATCTATCCTCTCTCCACTTTGAGGAAACTGAATTTGTGGTTGCTTTTTCCTTGACTGTGAGCTCAGGAAACGAATCTTCACATTGATCGAATAAATACCTGTTATGCCACCCAGACCAGCATATGCCAGTATCATGCACTCTTCAGTCACTCTAAGACTGCTTTTATGGATTGAGCCTTAACTCCATGACATAAATCTGGATAAGTCCTGCTGTAACGCTGCCTATTAATCTATGCTCCACTCTCACAGTAACAAGATTATTTCAAACCAGGGCTCTACTGGTGTAAAGCGGAGGAGACAGCCTGTGCATGCCTCACCCAAGGGTGCATTTTAATAGGCTTTCAAACTGCAGAGTAGTAGTGACATTGCTTGTCCTCTGGTTTTGAGTACATTAAACCAGGTCTCTTTCACTGCAGTCAAGCCTCTGGTCACATCTTGTAACTTCAAGTACAGTTTGGTTTGGTGCCATATATCATTAGAGAACTCACTGTGTGTCCTGCTTACCTGCAAGGTCCAAAAAGTTTAAGACGTCAGAGATTGACTCAAATCATGACGCTGCCCTAAAACTGAATTAATGACGTGATGTTATAGACCTGCAGTCACCTTTGGAAGGACTAGAGGTCGATGGAGCCATTATAAATTATTGCAGAGTGACACCAGTCTTAATATTACGCTCATGAACTTCAGTAGGACGGGTTGTTAAATCTATACTTTCCTCTGTTAAACACTTTGTGGTTTAACTAGGCAGCCCTTCTCCATATCGACCTGAAGCTGGATTTTAACACATCACTTTAATCCCCTCAAGCGAGAAACAAAGTAGAGAAAGTTTTTGTGTTTCTGCAAAATGGATGTAATTTAGATGCAAGTTGCAATAAAGCCCTGTCCATCCATATTACCTCCTCTTGATTGGCCAACAATTGACCCTACCTAAGCCCCACCCCTGTCAAATGTCTTCTTTCCTGCACTTCGATATTTTCTGTTTAAAAGACAACCAGCTAACTAGCTAGCTAATCTACATCAATTGTTAGAAAGCTAATTAGCCTCAGTTTTGCTCATATTAGCTCTCAGATGTAACTAGCATTAGCTAAGTGAGCTAAGTTAAGATGCAACCATGTATTTGTCACTTTTATCTTTTAACCAGCTTCAAATATTGGTTGTCTTGATCATAGATGACCCAAGCACATATGGTAAAAGTACAGTAGAGGAGAAAGTCGACCAAAGCTTGCTCAACTGTCATTGGAGCACAGAGGGAAAAAAAGGGCGGGAAGGGTCCCATCAGGTTTGCTTTGGCTTTACACTTTAAGGATAAGACTGGCAATATATCATTGTTTACAAATCCCATAAAAAGACCAAAAACAACTTGTTAGTTCTTCTTTCAATTCTTTATGACTTCTGTACCCAATGTGTGACCCACTGGTTCCTACTGAAGATGTAAATCTTTATAAATGGTTAATGAATATAAACTGGAATTTTTCTAAAACAGCTGAGAACTGCAAATAGTGCATTTGTTGGGGATTGTATTCAGTGCATGTTTACGGTAGCAGGATCATGTATGTTGGATCAACTCAAAACCCAGTGCAATAGTGAGGCTCATAATGTGTACAGTAGAGCTCTATGGCACTGATGAATATCAGGCTTTGGGTACAAACCTGTTAGCAGGATCAATTAATTGTTGGTTTTGGTCTTTTCATGAGATTTGTTGACAATACAAACCAGCCTTATCTTTTAATGTTTTTGTTTAATTGTATGCTTTTGTAGGCTTCTGTACTGTATTGTTGACTGTAGCTGGTGCTGCAAAAATTATATTGTCACAATGTGTACGCAGATCGATCTTCTTTTATTCTTCTTTGAAAAGGATTTGTCTGAATTGTGTTTTAATCTGAGACTATTTATGAAATAACCTCTGCGCTATTGTTAAAATTTAATAAAGGACATAGAGAACAGTTAACTTTACAAGTAACAATTTCTACTGCCTCACCAAAAGCTCTGCACTAGTTCCTCGTGTTCTAGACTCAAAACAGTGTATCTTTAATATGATGTGATATGGTTTTGTAAATGTCTCATTCATGCTCTTGACAGGACATTAAAAACCGCCGCTGAGATGCTGACTCGTAACACATACATCCACTAAACCCCCTTTCAAAGTCACATTTGTTGTTTCAAAGCTGTATTAGTCATGATTTAGTGCCTGCATAGTACCATGGGAAAAGACAGAGAGGACTTACAAAGGAATACACATCGCAAGCCTGTCTTTTAATATGTTCCACATGTGGCATGAGAGAAAGCCATTACCCTTACTCAGAGAGAGCACGCTTTCATTCTGAATATAATGTCTCAAGGCATGGGAACTTATTACTACACTGTTATACTAATGAGACTTTAATGACTCCGCTTAGATGGTATTCACTGTTTCTCAGCAGCAGAAGTCTGGCTAAGAGCTTATTTTAACATAAAGTTCTTCAATCTTGACTTGCGACTCAATTATACTAAAAGTTTGACCCATATGTTTCTGACAATAATCACTGCTGCAGCTTTGAATCCACTTTGAAGCTCTTTGAAATGATATTAGAGACGACGTTGAAACCAGAAATGCCACCACATGATCGTCTTTTGTCAACGCTGCTCTTTTCCACAGACAGAGAACGATCTGTGGGAGGTGTGGAACAAAACGGGGCACCAAGGGAATAAATGGAACCAAGCAGAGATCCCTCTGAGGAAGCTGAGGAACTTTGAGGTGATATTTGAGGGGATTCGCTCGAGGGACGTGAGTGGAGGAGCTGCTCTGGATGACCTGGAGTTCATAGACTGCGCTCCAAGTAGGTGATATGAACAGTACACACATTTTGTAAGAAGAGCTAGTTTTATTTTGTTGGCTGAACCAAAATAAAATATAAAAAACAAGCTTAAAAAACTGTGAGGCCAAATTTGAACATTTGTAGACAGATGCTACCTACAAAAAAATACCCCAAACACTAAAACATCCTTCCTCTTCTTCACCTAATCTTGGTCTCTTTGCAAATACAAACTCTAAATTCTTTGCACCTAAGGTCCTGAAAAGACCATATTTTTTATCTGTTCTATGTATTACTATCTTGTGTGAACAAGACTTACGTGAAAGTAATTTTTCAAGAATGTGTGGGATCAGTTTTTATATCATAGATTACATTGTTTCAGAAAACAGCATTTTTCAATTTCTTTCAGGGGGAAAGGGAATAAAGTGCTATTGCAGTGAACACCTGTACAAAAAAAATACAGATTCAAAAAAAGGAATTAGGGGTTAAGTTGCTCTTTAAAGGGTAGTTGGAGAATTTTTATAAAATATGCTTATTTACCAGATGAGATCAATACCACTCTCATAGCTGTGTTTTAAGTTTGGAGCTGGAGCCAGCAGGTGTTTAGTCTAGCTTAGCATAAAGGCTGGAAACAGCTAGCTGTATACGACAGTCCAACCTGCCGCCTGTCAGAACCTATAAAGCTCACTCATTAACACAGTATATGTCATGTAGCTGTTTCCTCCTGTTTCCTGTCTTTATGCTAAGCTAAGCTAACCGCCCTGCTGCCTTTAGCCTTATACTTACTGTACAGATATTATACTGGTATCTATCTTTTCATTTAGCCAAAAAAGCAAGAGGTCAAACTATTTTTTTAAGGGAATGTTATACAGTCTGAGCTTTTGATCAACATCTTTTGGCAATCAGTAGGAAATGCCAAGAGAATGAGACTGAATCCCACGACTCAGATAATAAGTGATTTATAATATTTGAGGTGTGGAAAATGCAAGCAGGAGGGCAAAGAAGATGGGAAATTTCATTGTTCCAAAATGGAGCACTGGAGTGGAAAGCCAGAAATCTCACCACCTGGCAAAGTAATCACAGAGTCTGGTATTCAGCAAAACCTCTGCACACATAATAAGGTTGCTTTGTGCAGAGTGGCAGTGCAAATCTAACTTCTTGCTTCTTTAATTTAAAAGCAACTTTAATTTTGACCAAACTTTTGATAGTTTGGAAAAGTGTTCATGCTTTTAGAGACTCTCATTAACTGATTTATTGTCAGTCAGCTTTTCATACCAGCCCATATCTAACTTTAGCTTAAAAGTCATGAGAGTATCTTTAAACTTGTCTTTGAAGATTATTGACTCTTTGTAAGTGCGAGAATAAAACGTATGCTAACGATCCAAATCTAAGGTTTCTTGCTATGATTAGTTATTCAGGTGGTTTACCTGAAGTATCTGAACATTAAAAAGAGTTCAGACCATATTACATAATGTGGATTGAATTACATTAAACGTCTTTCTTGCTCTTCTCTGTCCTTGTTTTATCAAAGTGTACTTCCAATAATCTTCACAGGCGAGATATAAATATGCTGTGAAATTATTTTATGATCTTTTCAACCGATAGTTTGGGGGTATGAAATTTATTCACCACTGGCACACTCAGAGTACGAACAGAAAAAGAGTGAGCTAGTGTGTCTTAAAGAGTTCAATTTTCTGTGCGATGACGACGTTTGATGTTTATGTCCGAGACAGATGTTCCACATTAAACGTGACCTGGCACAAGGCTGGACACCATGTGGGATGGACATAAACACACTTACATAGAGAGACACATGAATACTGACCTACAATTGGAGCTCGAAACAGACTGAAAGGCGTCCATGCAAGAACTGTCAGTCCAAAAGTAAATGACATCAACTTTAAATGCGTCCTAAAATGGGTTTTCAGTTTATGCTATGATGGCATTATTAACCCAGCTGAACCTCTGGAATGAAGTTCAACTCTGTACTCACTTCACTCATCTTTTAATGTCTCTGCCTTTGAGTTTTTACAGAACACACACACACATAATGTAGTTATATGTGCTGTCTCTGCTCCACCTGATCTCTTTTCCTTCCTCTCTGTTCTGTCTCAAACAAGGCAGAGCTGAAAGGAAGGAGGCTTTGATTTCAATGACAGGCCTTTGTCTGCTTTTATTTATCGTCTTCTCCACCGCTCGTGTCCTTCGGTGCACAGAACAGGAAGGCTGTTTTTTAATAAAACAGTTCTTCATTGTAGCATTTTCTCTGCTGCTATATTTGATTCATCTGAATGGAAAAAGGGGAGATAGTTTCCCATCTGGTGGGTCAGTCCTAAAAAAAGATTAAATACCTGATGAAGATGATGAGTGTTTCTCCCTCAGATCTGTTCCTATGTTTTTTCTGTTTGTGTGTTTCAGATGTTGTGGAGCCACTCAGTTGTCCTGCAGTCACAGACTTTGTGTGTCGCAGTGGCCACTGCATTGAGTCCCACCTGATGTGCGACAACAAGGCCGACTGTGCTGATGAATCAGATGAGATAGACTGTGGTGAGGAGAAATGGGAAATTGGGGAGTGAATCCATCTTACTGTGGAGCAGAAAAAAACTACTTTCAACCAAGACTTCTCACACTCCTATCTCTCTCTCTTATCTCTCTCTCTGTCTCGTAGAACCCATGGAGCACTTTCCAGGAGCTTGCAATTTCAACTTGGATGAAAGCCAGTGGGAAGAGACGTGCAAGCTTTCTCAGGACACTGATGATGACTTTGATTGGAGGATTGGTCATCGGAGGGAGACACCAGGAACTGGACCTCACACTGACCACAGTGTTGGTCAGTACTTACTCTGCTGCCAGTCCTTTCTCTTAGACATTACATTTATATACAACGCATGCTCCAAATTAAACTACATGCCCTGCAGAACGACAATATAAGCATTTTCTGCCTTCCAAAACTGTTACAAATCACTGATGAAAAATAAATACATTTTCTGATTTTATGCCACCGTGCTTACGGTTCGGTTAGATTCAGGCTCAAACAACACTGGGTATTGTTAGTGAAACAATGTGGTCTTGGTTAAATGAAACCAGGAGTGACTGTCAGTAATAAATCTGTGGTCTCTGCTGGCAAAGTCCCACGTTTTGTTGATCGTCCACTCCGACCTCCTCCCTCCCTGGACTCTAAAGCTCTATAATAACGCCACCCAACGTCCTCCTTTGTTCCCCGTAGACAAGAGTAATAATTCATACTGCCACTAGAGAGCTTTGTCACTTAAACATTAACATTTATTGTTCTTGGGATTTGCTGATGCTGTTGTTTTTCTTCGGAGGACAGTTGATATACTCCTAATTTTGCAACAGATAATACTTTTTGAGAGATACATAATACCACCTGAATTAAGTTTATTTTTAACGCTTTTAATTAAACATACTACAAGGAGTTTTTTTAAAAGGTTTATGATCTCAGTTTAGTACTGATAACTCTGTATGACCTACATAAACAAACAAGACCTTCGCCAAGAAGATTGGCTATTTCTATATAGTTATTCTTAACTTAACCTAACTTAAGTTAAGAAACCTAACTTAACTACGAGGCAGTGGAAACACTACCACTTTTGTCCACAGGGGGTGCCAGAGTCAACCCCAAATGAAAGTTTCTTGTAGCTGCGTTAATGTATCTGATTAGTGGCAAAATCAGACCAACTAAAGTGTGATTAACATGTACTGTGGTTATTTTAAGGCTTTCACAGCACTTGGTTAAATACTGAGAAGTCAGAAGTGCTTTTGTTCCTTAAATCTAACCACTGCACATAAATATACAAGTGTGGCTTCAGAAAGGATTTTGATATGCAAGTTTGTGTGTATTTCTAACCTTTTACCTCTTTATCATGACAGAATGAGCACTTGCCGCTAAGGATCCTGTTTATATTCAAAACTCACAGCATGTGTTTGCTTTCTGCCTTGTTTTTTTGGTAAAAGATTAATAATGTCAAAAAAACCTTTCTCAAAATTAAGAACAAACAACGTCCTGCGTCCTCCTGACATTCTCCATGTTTTCAGCTTACAGGCAGCTCAGTGCAGCGCCTTTGTAATTACAACCTGACAGCTGGGGAATCGGAGCCTTCAACAGGCATGTGAAGGCAGGGTTAATAATACATCCTGATCAATGTCAGCCTGAGTCAAACTGAGCTTAACAGCATTGGATTTGTTGTTTATCTTATGTACATTTATGCTCCTGCATCAAAACGTAATTTCTAATGCTGAGTAATTAAAAATTAAATCCTGGAGTATGAATCACCTCATTGGTGCTAAGGTTACTCTTACACTCATCTATAATGTGTAAACCTTAATTTCCACGTGACTTTGGGTGCAATTTGCATTCATTAATTATTGTTTTGTTCACTGGCTGTCAGTATTTCTTCTGTTTGTTGATGCTGCTTATTTTTCCAGGGCTTGAAAATTGATTCAAGGGGAAAGGACGACCTTGATAATCAAACGATAGCTGCATGAAAATAATGAAAACTCTAATTACAGTTTAGTATAGGAGACATTGATTTGAGAGGAAAATGCAGCAGTTTATAGTTTGTTTTACTTTACAGAGAGAAACAAGTAATGTAAATCCACATCATCCTGAATCCATTAAGAGTAGTGTATGTATGGCTTAAACATTTAGTTGATTAAAGCAACACAATGTAAGATTTGGTATGTGTTGCAGTTTCAGAGTGTTATTACAAGTCAGCGTGGCATCAAAAGAAGTTTGAAGCTGTTATTTTAAGGTAGAAAAGGTACATAATGGGGCTTTAAATAATTAATTGATTGACAGAAAACAGTCAACATTTGCTTTCTTCTTGTTGCTCTCTTCTATATTGTTGTAAAATGATGAATTAAACTGTTAGTCTTAAACTTAATCTTTGGCTCAGTGAAACTGTGATTCACATTTTACTTTTTTCTGACACTCTTTCGACTGAACAAGTCATCAGTTTATTATAAAAAGAATCGCCAGCTCAATCAGTTATATATAAATAATCGCTAGTTCCAGCCCTAGTTAGATTATTTCAAGATACACGTGTGATCTACGTTTTTTTTTTTATGAGCAGGAGTTTCTCTGGGAGCACTGATGTTGTAGAGGTGATGTTGCACTGGAGGACCAAGTCAGTATATCTTGTAGATTGACCAATTCAATGAACTGTCCTAATCTACCGTGTAGCTCTAATGCTTCCTTGAATTGGCTCTTACTTAGTTCACACCCACTGCTGATTGGACAGTTGAGTTTATTGATCCGAGAGATGAATCCAGACGATGTGTCATAGAGTGAACTTATGATCTCACGCCAGAGCAGATCAATAAACTATCTGTAACACAAGGACACAAAGAGGTGCACATGACATCACTTAGTTGCATTATCAGATGACGATAACATCTGGATGACGGAAGAACATGTGTGTACACAGGAAACAGCTTTTATCTGAATGAATGACAGATTTTTATTTTCTGAGTCATAGGAGAAGAATCCAGTATTGGGGAGTGGGACCGGGGTTTGCTGTGCACTGAGGATTTGTGATGGCCTTAAATCCCCTTTAACTCATGTGGAAAACTCCCACTTTGTCCTGGCCTCACACAGATGCTGTCTCATCTGAGAACCCAGCCGAGCCGAAGAAGCTCTCTGCAGCTTTTGCCTGCAGGCTGCATCGTTTCACAACAGCACAAATACTTTCTTCTTTCCAAATATCATGTATGTTGGATCCAACAGAAGAAAGTTATTTCTTTCCCGCTGTAAAGCTGATATTGGAAGGTTGAGAAGGGTCTAGCTGTGGGTATTATTTCACCGCACAAGAGCTGTCATTCATCACACTCAAATATTACTCATAAATTGACTACAAATGTATTTTTTTTTAATGCAAAGGTGGTGGAGGGAACTTTCTCTTCATACACTCAGCCACTCAGAGGGAGGGTGACGTTGCCAGGGTAACAACCAGGAGTCCATTTCCAGCCAGCATCGGCCAGTGTCACCTCCGCTTCTGGTTCTACATGTATGGCTCTGACAGGATGGGAACGCTGAAGGTGATTTGATATGAGTTACATCTCCATAAATAATTCAAAGTATTTTATGTGTTGTGTCAGACATCTACCTTGCAAACTTGTTTTTTTATAAATATTGTTATTTGCTGTCAGATGATCCATCACAGTCAAACTGAAGGCTTAATATGGCTTTGTAAGAAAAGGTTCTTTTCTATTTTACTGTGCCGCTCACTACATTAGACTCTGCTTACTGTCAATCTCCTGATACCCAAGGAGAAAAATGAAAGTCTCCCTGTCAGGAAATAATCCATCAAATCATGTCACCTTGCAAACTTGATTACCATATCCATCTTTTCATGTCTTTTTTATGTGTTTTTGTTTGCTGGGTTAATTTCAAAACAACACACAATACACAAATGTTAAGAAAACAAACTAATTGGGTATGATGTGCACGGAAAAAATGGCAAAAACTACATGTAGCCCTAGACAAGATATTTACAAATCACTTAAAATGCCACCAGGGTTAAACTAATTAAACAACAGTAAATTATTTATTGGTTTCTTAAAAAACTTTATTTAATGTGTAGAAGTAAGTGGAAATACATACAGCAAAATAAAAATTAAAAAATAAATCTGTATCCAAATGTTGTTTAAAATGAGAGAAAATAATCATGACTCGAGAGGAATGTGCATGCTTTAAAAAGATGAAAGGATGAAGACTAATGTAAAGACAAGAGTCTGCAGTCATGCTAGCGGCTCTGTAAAGGCTTAGTGGTGTTTTTAGCTAACATGCTCACAGTAACAATGCTAACAGGCTGATGTTAAGCACGTACAAGGTTTTCCACGTTCACCATCTTAGTCTTAGCATGCTAACCTAATTAGCTCTTAAAACAAAGCACAGCTGAGGCTGATGAGAATGTCCTTAGTTTTGCAAGTAGTTGGTCATAAATTAAAGTATTGGACGAACTGACCTGATAATGGCTTTAAAAGTCAGGTTTGCTGATTAAATTGAATCAATAAATGTATTATCAGACTGACCTGCTACCACAAATATGAATAGGAATATTGTTATTACAGCGCAGACCTTCTTGGAGTGCAGATTTTTGTGTTATTTAGGTTTATTGTTTTATTTATTTTTTTTTTTAATCTCAGTGTCATTTTATGTCACCCATGTTTTTATATGCCATCTCTGTGCAGGTCTACACTGTTGGACCCACTGGCACCAGTCTGCTGATGTGGGCAGCCACTGGAAACCACGGTAACCAGTGGACATATGCTAATGTCATCCTGTCTAACCCAGCACCTTTCAGAGTGACCTTCCAGGCAGAGGTGGGCGGAGACATGTGGACAGACATTGCCTTGGATGACATTTCCTACACTGCGAAATGTTTGATAGAAGGTAAAGTTTTAGCTTTAGTTTATTTTTGTCTTTTTGGTTTCTTGTTTTTTCCTCATTTCGTGTCTATTCAGTGCTCATTTTTCATGCCATTTCCTGCAATTTTCACCTTCTCCCATTTCTTCTTTTTACACATTTTCTTTCCACCGAAGTCCATGCTCCTCTACTCCTTTTCCATATAAATTGCGTGTACCCTCGGGGAGAGTGTAGTGAGTTAATGAAGCCTGTTGCCCTGTAGGTCCATATAAATTCACTGTGGAGACTGGGTCAGCGCCGAGGGACGGCACAGAGGGCAATGGGGGGGAAAAGCAATTACATTTATATTGTGTTGTTTCCTCACTCCCACCCTAATGTTCTCCCTTCACCCCTGAATCACTTCTTCGGACGACTTTCTGAAGAAGCATCTTTTTTTTTCACCGTGTCTTAAAACAATCCTCTGAGATCTCTCGCTGAAGGATGCTGACAGTGTGTGAACTAAAATCGATGAAAGAGGATTTAAGGTGTGTTAAGCTCTCTGCATCAATGTGTAATTATGTGCATGTATCTTTGTGATATGCCACCTCAGGACCAGTAACTCCCCAGCCTCTGACCTGCGCCGTGGACCAGTACCAGTGTACGTACTCCTTCCAGTGTATCCCAGAGAGTTGGAGATGTGATGGAGAGCTGGACTGTGCCGACCAGTCTGATGAAGAGTTTTGTCCCACTGTGGTACCCGGTACTGTTCCTCCTCAGGATCGCTGTCCTATTGGACATTACCAGTGTTTGAATGATCTCTGCCTGCCCTCCATATTGCGCTGTGACGGCGTCCCAGACTGCCCCGATGGGGAAGATGAGTACAGCTGCCGTAAGTATATGTGTGTCTGTATCTGTGTCGGGTTTTTGACAGGTGGAGAAAGCAAACACTTTACAAGTATACGATCCATCAACATATGGACCAACAGTATATAAAAATTGTAACGATCTTTGTCAGATTCTTGTGAATTCCCTCATATGTGGATGGTTCAGACTAAGGGTTGGTTTTCATTAAATAACATACTTTCTCACCTACAGCAGTAACCATGCAGATACCATACAGCCCAATTTATACAGTATGTTTATATCAATTTATATGTAAATCTGGACGAATACAGTATATATATTTATTTATTTATTTATTTATTATTATTTGGGTTCCCAAACCATTCAAGCACAGCTCAGTGATACTGGTTTGTGTCCTAGTATTGCATTTAAAACCAGCCAGTCAAAATTTACTCTTTTTCAACCTGTTTATGATCTGCTTTATTGTGATTGATCAACTGTTTTTTTATTTTTGGTTTAATCCTCTCCTCCCTGACCCTGAATTTACATCCTGTATTTAGACCCAACTGCTTTTAAATCTCAGCTATTAAATCACAAAATGTTTGCTTTATTTTTTACTGTTACACTTATTTATCTATTTATGTTTTGAAATGTGTGCATACAAAGAAATGTATTAATTCCTTTAATTTCATTCACTTCCAAAACAATACTTGGCAGGTGATCGGATGAACCATCTATCCCGGGCAATACAATAAACCATAAAACGTATTCATATACTTACCGAAACCAGCCGGGAGAAGAGTGAGAACATCAAGAAAAACGTTCAGTGTCGTTCTTTGCTCTTCTTTCTCCAGTTCTGATTCTAGCAGCATCTACGCTAACAGCCACCGCCAGTCACTTCTCACACTCACATACACCTAGCGTTAAACCACGCCTGTAGCTCATTCTGTAGCTGCCATAAACAACTCAAGGTTAAGTGACACCTCCCAAACCCAAAGCTTTCCCCTCTACATATTCCCCTGTCATGTCTTTTTCCACCAGCTCTGCTGCAGTGCGAGTTGGGAGAACTGGTGTGTGAAGGTTCACCTGGTTGTATCCCACTTCAGAAGCGCTGTGACCAGTCTGACGACTGTCTGCCATTTCACTCGGATGAGTCCAGCTGCCATGGTAACATGTTTTTACTTACCTTCTCCTTTCAAGCTTTTTTTTTTGCCATTAACCATAGCCCATTTTATGATTCCCCGACCTTGAAGCTCAGACATGTCCTCTGCCTCAGCATAGTTGGATGTCCATCTGCGCACTTGTCTTTTGATCATACAGTTCATGGAGTTTTAACTGTCATTCGTGGCTGTATGTTTTTAATCATATTCTTTTAATGCTTTGACGTCAATTATTGTGACATTTAGTTCAAGTATGGCTCTCTATCTTGCTAAAAAAGGCCTTCACGCTGGCTAACACACTGTCTTTCCTCCATCTGTTTAGAAAAAAACAAATGCATAGATTTATCTTTTCATATTTACTGTATATCATACTCTCGTGAGTCACCAGTCAGTTTTGACTCAAGCGTTGCCAAAACTTCATTCAGGTCTGCTCATTTCCAGTCTTAGCAGTGACTCCTAGGACATTTTCAAGTTCAAGTCTTTTTAGTCTTCAAAGCACACCTCAACAGTTTCTGCAAGCTGCCAAAATCCATTAAAACCTCTGCTTTCCTGCGTTTCTCAGGAATAGGCCAAACCCCACATTTAGCTTGCATACACTGCCAAGCCACAGTCACTTTATCAAGCCAGAACAGAGCTTCAGGGTCTCATAATGGTGTTTCAAACATGATGATTATTTAACAGGCAGCCCCGATAACCCTCACACAACCTATGGAGGGAAAAGTATTTGTCATCAGATATACAGGATGGAGGGAGATGTAGTAAAGTGGCTGACGCTTTCTGTAAAGGTTGATGGATGATGCTCAACAATGCATCCCCCCGCAACATTATTCACTGATTTCATGTTCTGATGTCGGAGCAGAAACATGCATCAGTGTACATCTGTTTCCTGTCAGGGGAAAAAAGCCATGGATGGTGGCAGGTGACAGAAGAAAGAGAGCAGAAGAAAATCTTTGGAGGATCTTATTTTTGGTATATTTCTTTAATAAGATATTCAGTCATGAAGTCAGATTCTTTCGTATTATTTGCAGATTGCCCTCGGCTGTACTGCCTGGATCACGGCTCATGCCATGTGGAGAGACACGGGCCTGTTTGCATGTAAGCTGAACTCCACCCTCACACAGATAAACACACATTTACAAGCACACACCTACACACTCCCAAACACGCACAAACAACGATAAGTATCATGTCTGTTCTTCGCACTCCTCCTCCCATCCTTTATCTCTTTGTGAGACTTAAAACATCGAAATCCCATCAGTCTTGTTTCTTTCCTTGGAAAAGACACGCTCCATGAAGCATGTGGGAATCTGCTTATCCCCCACAGCTTAACCAAGGCGGTTCTGCCTTCATTTATCCACCAGCACAGTGTTTCATGGGAATCTCTGATGGATTCTCCTGGTCAATATTTAAACACGGCTCCTACTACCAATGGTCTTAGTGGGTAGACCACAAAAAAACTCCTGCATCAGATAAATCTGCTGAGAGGCCGTCATGTTGGCATAGGCAAAACACATTAAAGACAGACATTACAATAACTCTGCTGGAGGTTTTCCTTTTTTTTTTAAGAAGCTTATGAATCTAGTTGTCTGTATCAGCAGCTTGGAATGTCTGCAACGAGATATTTCATTATAAAAGTAAGAATGCAATTACAAGACTTGCTGCTGGATCTGCTAACATCATTATGCTCCAGTGAATCCTCAATAAGAGATTCACATTTCTCTGTCCTCGTGTCAGGAGGTTGCTTTTTGCACAGATGTGAACTGCAGCAGACAAGATACTTGTTTACTAAAGTCACATAACTGACTGCAGAGTGTGTCCACAATGCAATCAGAGTGTCATGTTATTCAAAATGTAATCCCACTGAAAATGCTGGAACAGGAACAGACTTTTAAAAACCAACTCAGTTAAATTGGAAGCTTTTTCTTTGTCTGCTATAGCAAACAAATCTGCTCTGTGAATCCCCTCCTGTGCTCTTCTTTGAGAAAATTACCGTACCCAAAAAGGGGAGCTTAATTTTAAACCATATTTGCATAAAGCAGTAACATTACAGGAGCATGGTCACACTGATACAGCCTGCTACACAAGAGCCACAGTCTCTTTCTTATCTCACTTACAAACTTGGACACCACATCTTTTCTTGCACCTTATCTTGATGGAGGTAATGTGCATGCAAAAGTGCACTGCTAACGTCAGCTGGAAAGCTAATTGGCTAGTGAAACACCATGTAAATGTAACTGCAAAAGTCAGTTTGGTTTAGATGCTGGTGTGGTCTTTACTCTTCAAACTACTGCTAGCAACACAATGGTTTATGAGCTACAAGTTTGTTTACTTTGCCCTGACGCCTGTAACGAAGCTCAGCCTGCCAGCTGCTGTCAATCAAACACGCCTCTGCCACTGAGATTGCTGAAAGACTTTTTTCTACAGACAATAAATTAGAATAAAAAAACACTGACACTGTCTTCCTGACTAAATGTGATTTCAGTTTCACTTTTAAAAACTGTCTGCAGTGTGAAGATATCCCACTGCTGTTTGTGGCAGAAATGCTGTCTCTCCCTCCCTCATTCTCTCATTCAGCCTCCAAGGGTTTGATTCCCCTTTTTATTCATCGCCCTGTCGAACATTCCCCGATGCAGCACCTCCACCCCTGCCTCCTCTCATTATGTAACAGGAGTTTACCGCCGTCATTCACTGCACAGTGTGGTATGGAGCTCCTGTAGCTGTTCCAGCAGAACCCGAGGCCAGCATTGGAGGGCACCTCTGGCTCAGTATTTGCATCACGTTCCTCCACTCCGCGGAGCAGGATCCACCGGGGAACCAGGCCAATGACCGCCCACTGCCATGGCCAGACCGTCACACAATATATACCCTGACCCCCTCTGAATTATAATGACACAGTCTGGCTTCCCTGAGAGCAGTGTGTTTTGCATTAGAAGGTCAATCTTGCTCCGAAATCAAGTTGATACTGAACAGATGTTGACTTGGAGCGGAGTCTCCGTTTAGGAGAAGAAACTTTCTTTTCCAAAGATGCAGCTCACCAGACAGCAAACTGCAATTAGTCTGTGTTTCCATGCTTTCATTTCCAGCAGATAAATCTTGCACCATTTGTCACGATAGCAATGTTTTTTTAAATGATGTGAGGGAATATGCGTGTATGTGTACAAAAGAGATTTTGAATTATGTTTTTTATCTTTGTTAGTTTTTTGTTTAACTTTTATCGTTCTACCAGGCCATATTTTTCAAATATGTCAGATCCCAGTGCATTAGTACAGTATGTTTAGGAGCAAAATACGCACACAAATAGGATTACAAATTAGTGTGAGGGCTGATCTTTAGCATTTTTATTGTCCCACTAATAAACTACCAGATACTTACGGTTAATTGCACAGGATTCGAGTGCTGCAATTGAGAGTGTGTGAAAAATAGTTTGCACATGCGTAGCAAAGTCTAAATAGATTGCCTAAAGTAATAGATAAATGGTTGAAAGGTCAAGCTTCTGCCTGCATGGCGCTGTGGTTTTTACTAATAGTTGTTATAGTTGGCATAAAAAATAATAGATAATCACCAGATTTATCCTTATTTTTACTGGTTATATGTCTGTTGTCTTAGTTTTATTGGTTTTTCAGTCACCTGTAAACAAATTTAAACTGTGTCGTACAAATCAGGTTTGATTGATGCATTTATTTGGACATTTTGCAGCATGTTGTCCTGACATCAGTGTCATAACTTTGTACTGTTTCTTGGTATCTGATCACAGCTGTTATCCAGGATGGACAGGCAACCGTTGCCATGTGAAGGAGAAACCATCTCTCTCAACCTCGTCACCCAAACCAGAGGACACACAGCTGGGTAATAAAGAAACTCCAATCCCTGTTCCTCTCTATAAAACTGTCTCACCTGAATTTATTTACTCTATCCTTGAATTCCCTGTTAATGTCTCTGCAGTTCATTAAAGGTAGTTCTTTATGCTTTAAATGCCTCACTCTTATTTAGATGCTGTGTATGTTGGCATCACCATCGGCCTGCTGCTGCTTGTACTCGGAGTTGCTGTCTGCTTTCTGGCATTATTCAAGGAAAGATGCTGTTTAATGTGAGTTCTGGTTGCTATAATGACAGCGTTTCTCCTTTTACCGATGATGATGTTGTTGATGATGAGTGCTTTTCCTTTGCTGGTTTCACAGAAAGACCAACCTGATGGACTACGGGGTGATGGATAACCCAGGCTTTGACGGGAGAGCAGAGGTCAGCGCACAGAAATGGCCAATCAATCATCAGCGATATCTGCTCGGGCAACATTAGGTTTCTCGGCTATACAAATCTCATTTTTCTACCATTCGCCTCACATTTATTCAGTAATTGAATCTACAATTAGAGGAGGTCAGAAGGTGATCGCCAAGCCTTTCTGCTAGATTACATTTTTGATTTAGGATTATTGATTTTGCGGTTTATGTGTATATTTGTGTTTTTCTTTGTGCGTTACACTGTAGTGCATATACAGGCGGTAGGCACAATAACTGAACCATATAATCTGATCAAATGCAACACCATAAGCTACAGCGCCAAAAATAACCAGTTTAATCAACAGTCTTACAAAAATGTAACATGATGAGAAGCTTAAGTAAATAGCAAGGCTTTTAGACCTTAAAGGATCAGTGTGAAGGATTTCGAGGCATCCAGCAGTGAGGATGCACATTGTTTTTTAGATTTTTGTGACCTTTGTCATATAATACAAGGCGACGAGAAACATAAACAATCAACAGGTCTGCCATGAGTTGTGATGTGATATCTGTTTGGCACAACGTGACTGGTTGAAGCCTTCATTTCTAAAAATCTACCTTGATCCAAAAAAAAGGATGTCACTTTTTGACTGCGTAATATTCACGTCCTAAAGTCCCCCGTGTGTAATGAAAACATTAATATTATATGCTATTTCTGCCAATAGAGCCTCCTAAATGTTAAACACTGAAACACTAAAATCCTGCATTCAGAACCATAAGAAAGTTAAAGCACACACACACACACACACACACACGTTTCTGTGTGTGGGTGTGCAGCAAGTGTCATTCAGAAATAAAAGTGAGAGTGATGTTGAGAACCACAATGACTCTGATGATAGAGATTATTATGGATTTAATGGTGCTGATAGAGTGTGTGTAATGTAGTAGTAGTGGATGAAATGTAGTGTTATGCTACTGTTCATGTTACTATAAGTGAAAATATTATAGAAATTTATGTTTTTTCAAGCAGGTGCAATATTCCCAAGGCAATTCACGCACCCATCATATATAATGTATTTCAGTATATTCTATATCTGTGTTGTATGTCTGTACATGTTTACTTTCATGTGGCTGCCAGTGAGGACGTGGCTATAAATAGAGAGTTGTAGGTGTGAACTGGTATCTCCTCAACCCAGACAGATCCGCTTCAACGCTAAATCGAGCAGCGGAAACAGTGTGTGATTATTCCACACACGGTGATGTAATGTTTTTTATGGAGGTTAGAGGTGTAATTATGGACGCATAACAGGTCAATTTGATTTTAATTGCGCCTGCATTTCACTCTTCTCGCACATCATCTCATCTAATTTTAAGCCAGTGTACATGATTTTCTTTCCCTCAGCACCCGTCCCTCCACGAAAGGCCAGGCGGTTGTCCCAGACTTAACGCCAAGACGAGTGATGGTCGGGGGCTTTCCATCAGTGTCTACCCCTGGAGGAAGGAGGCGGAGGTAAGGTGTCTTGTCTTAGCCTCTGGGGCTTTACTCTAATTATCTGTGCAGAAGTCAGTGACTTGATGTATGTCTCTTTGTGTGTTTTCATCCACAGCAGGGTTCAGCCTGGAAAGATGCCAAGCTGTCCTTCGCCAACCCGCTGTACAATTACCCCCCTGATGCTTATAGTGCTGACTGCAAAAGCTCTGAGGCATAAAAACAATGGACCTTACATATCGACACTGGAGTGCATGTGGGTCAAACAGTGTGTGCACATACTTGATCAGTTTGTCTTGACCTGCCGAGGAGCCAAGTTTAAACAACGTGAAGAGGAAGAAAGTTTAGATACATTGCAAGGAAGTATTTGAATGTCAGTTCTGATACACTGCTGTTGCTTTTTGATTGACAACTAAATAATTAATTCATCAAATTAATGATGTGATACCCCCCCGCAACCCATCTGGCACTAAAAGGGAAGCACACTAATCCATGACTAAAACAAATTTTCTCCATATAAATACCATTAAATGTAGTTTAAAAAGTAAAGAGGTGAACAGTTTCTGCAGGAGTTCTGCTCTATGCAACACTACGATTTTATAAGTTAAGATAAAGTCAATTAATGATCAATCAGATGAACTTGGATCACTATAAATTACAATCAATAAATCTGCATTTCTTCTCTTGTTTCAGCTTCAAAAAAATGTGATAAAAGATTTAAAAAACACTGTTTTAGGGAGGAAAACCTTTATAATTCACATTTTTGGGAAATACGCCTATTTGTTTTCTTAGTTTAGCATAAAGACCGGAGGAAAGGGGAAACAGCTCCCACTAGCACCTCTAAAACTCACTAAATAAAACTGTTTTGATTAATCTGTACAAAACCCAAAGTGTAAAAGCAACAAGTTACTGTTTTACAGGCTGTTATATGACGTGTGTATATGACGAAAAGAGTATTTCTTGGCCAGGAGCAGTAACTTCCTGAAGATGTTTCCAATGTTTCCTTTATGCTAAGCTAAGCTAATCAGCAGCTTCATATTTAACAGGGACACATGAGAGTGCTATCGAGCATATATCCCAACATTTTAGACTATTCGTTTAAATAGTCGAAGATATTGGGGGAGACAATAAAATAAATTGTCCATTTTTACATAGAAAAAAGGTTAAATCTTAAAATCCAGCAGTACATGCGTCACAATGGGCATTAGAACAGTACTTTAACTTGCAGAAATGGTTGTGGGTGCCCTGTGCATGGTGATTAAAGGTTTTCTTTAGTGCTGGCAAAAGCAGAAAACATCCAGTTCATCGAACTGAAACACACAGAGCCTCCGAATGGAGTCCTGACTTCATTAGTGATGCTTTCTAATCCCCACAAGTGCAAATAAAATAGTTTGCCCCTGTTTTATTTGCAAATTAAAATCCATTACAAGTCAGAGTCCTGCAACTGCTCTGTGTGTGTGTGTGTGTGTGTGTGTGTGTGTGTGTGTGTGTGTGGCGTGAACTGACTCTCTTGTAATAACCAGCATGGAGCAGATGGGATCATAAACAGCACAGTTAAACCAGTCTGTTATAAATTTCACGAGTGTTCAATCATGGCTCCTCTCAGCTGACATGCCAGCATAAATGTCCTCCTCGTATTTGACAGTCAACACGATGATTTAAAAGATCAGGCCTTGTTCTGAATAGAGAGCAGCCTCCTTCTTAGCATCATACTGATAATATTTCTCTTTAAAAAATATGGTTATTTCCTTACTTGCCAAGAGTAATGTGAGAATATTGATGCCACTCACTTATCTGTCTGTCAAATATGAAGCTATATATCTAGCTTCCGGTTAGATTAGCATAAAACCTGGAAAATGGCTGCCTTTATCGGCACCCCTAAAGCTCTAACTTTACATTTAGAAACAAGAGTGGTATTGATCGTCTCTGTAAATGTCTTAAGTATTTCTTTATAATCATGTTAGGCAATACAATTATATCTAGTCTTCTGTCGTTGCAGCGGACTGGATCTGTGCAGTGTCAGACTTAAACTGAATCGATAGAGGAGGAAAGAAGAGGTCACACTGTTGACTGTTTGTCAGTGTATTAACACAGATATCTTAGACTACATGTACTGAATTTGGATGAAACCAATAAAAACATAATGTGATTAGCATTTTATTTTATCCCCTAGATTAATACTGACCCATAATTCAATTTTGACATGTCATGGGAGTAAAAGCAAAGGTGTAAATATAAGATTAATGATGAGTCCTGATATTGTGACTGAAGGCTTACTGGGACACTTGAGTGGAGCCTTTATTAATGGTATTAGTAAAACCTGTGTTTAGCCTACTGTGATTAATTAAATATTAATCTTATTAGATACAGATGGCCTGTTTTTTTTATGGTACTTCTGGCTTTTTCAGTGAGTTGGGGCAATGATAAACCGATGCAGTCTCCATCCCATTTATTATAAATGTCAGGTAAAGTTGTTTCTGAGAGTCTGCACTTCGTCAAAAACACATCAAAACACTCCCATTCCTTCATATTGGTCCAAGTTCAAGTTATGAATCCTTAATTTTTAGGCTGTGGATGAATGCAATCTCCAGTGTCATTACTGTTTATTGTCGTTCTCCATCACTCGAGAGTCTCTGCTGAGTCTGTCGGTGGATTCTGGGGCAGAGATTTATCAGAGGGCCACTGGATCAATTTCAGCCTTTGAGCTGCTCCAACTGTTTTATTTTTTGTGCCCTCGCCTTACATTGGCTTTTTCCTCTGACATTCTGCCCTCCAAGCTAAAACGAAACTACATATGGGGACAGCTCATTGAAAAAATGTCCCATTGGACCGCCGAAGACAAAAGCCCATTGCTCTTAAGGTCCATTTTTTTCTAAATATCTGATCAGAATCTGATTTTGACCTTTTATTATAAAAGTATTATGACATAGAAATGTAAATTCCATGAAAACAGAACGTAAAATTGTGAAAAAACAACTAGTAAAACTAACATTAAAGCAGGAGGTATAGCTACAAGAGTAACAACATTAAAATATCAATTTTAATGTTGCTAAGCTACTTTAAATCACATATTTTATGTACTGAATTATAATACATTAATTTTAATATAGTGTAAATATTATCAGTAGACAAAAAGACAGAAAAAAGGATGTAGATAAGTGTCAGAGAGAGATCGAAGGGGAAGCTAGCTGGACATAGCTATCCGGAGCTAAAGCTAAAGCTACATTTTCTTAACTGAACTATAATCTGTACTAATTTTAATGAACCAACATTTTAATAAAATCAGTGTGTTATTTTACACAATGATTGAGTACATCACTAACTGCCCACTCAGCCTTTAAGTCTACAATGGAGATAAATGTATTATTGAGTTCAATATACTGTACATATTATTGGTAGACAGACATTTAATCCCTATTGACTCTAACTATTGACTGTAAATGATCAAAATAAACTCAATTCAAATGGACAAAAACGTTTACTGTGTTTTTTTATATCTTATGTAAAAGGTTGTAAAGGTAAAAGTTGTTATCCAGGTTCTTAATCGGTCCTCCAACAACCCACTCAGCTTATTTATCATGTAAATAAATCATGTAAATACTGACTGAAATTATAGATATTCAGACTTTTGTGTTACAAAGTTATTGGTATCATAATAGCTGGAAGCAGTCTGGTCTGGTTTTATCATTGGTACCATTATTAACAACTGCAAAGCCAACAATCCAACAAAAGGGCACCTCTCTGACTCCCTTTGTGAATCACCAAAAACACACACTCAGCCTTTTCACGGCCTCGACGTCAATGTTTGTTTGTTTCACCCCTGTGACATTTGACCTAACAAAACTACAATCAATGGCAATCAATGACACAAAACACCTTTTTCCACTAACACCTCACACTTGGCCTGCCTCGCTTTGCACACATGCTCACATGATAGCCCCGCTGACTGAGAATGTGCAGCTATCAATGTTTTTTTTTTTTCTGGTAGCTTCGTTATTCGTTGTTGTTGAATAGCGCGCGGGAGAGCTGCCACACGCCACCAGCCTTTGTCCTTGTGCTGTTGGTAAAGTAACATTAGTCAGCTTTTCTCACCGGAGCTTTTGTTTGTCACAGTTTTGTTAATCACAGAGCAGAGAGTCCATCTAAAGGTCACTGTATCGTTTGTGCTCCGAGAGGTTCCTGTAATGAACAAGCTTCCTGAAGAGCTAGGCGATGACAGCCTTTAAGGGGCTCCCTCTGTCAAAAATAACCCTTGACTCTTGCTTCATTTACATAACTACTCATCTGAGTTCTCTCCCATCCCGGGCTGTCAACCATTTTTTACAGCATTCAGCCCAATTTCTTCAGCAGGGAGCCAGCGCAGTCAGGTCAAGGTGAAATTCGCCCTTTTTCCTGGTAATGATAGCTCAGAATTGGTTCTCTCATCCTCTCTGGCTGAGTGCAGAGGGAAAAATGTCCATTCATTCTCTCTGTATTCAGTGAGAGTGGATGGCGATCAGCCCAAGGGGGACCACCATCTGAGTGTACTTCAGAAAAACACCCCAGGTCTCGGCTCTGGTAGAAGGCCGGGGAAAGAAGACACCGCCGAGCTAGTTTCTGATTTGATCTCTTGGGGCTTTTGAGCCGTAAAACATTTTTATCCACATCTTAACTGCCTCTTTTGTTGTACAGTAAAGGTTAATTTTGACTTTGTGAAGGGTATTTAATGCGCCTCGTACGACCAATTAAGCCCTATTCTCACGTGTCGTAAATATTGACCTGTCCCATGCTCTGCTGCGTTCCCCCACTGTGCAGCGATGCTTGATTAAGTTTCTAAATACAACACAGAGAAGTCATATCATCAAACATGCTAAATTAATGAGATTCTTAAGCTTATTATTTATAGTTTGCTTCATGAGATACACAAATGAGGCCACAGATTGAGCAGAGATAAACAACCCCTGCAGAGTTGTTTATTCTGCCACAGACAATGAGAGTTTGATCAATATAAGGCCGTTGGTAAGAAAGCTTGTGTAGCTCAGTAGTTTAAACACGTGTGCGGCATTCAGAGACATGTTCTTGTCAAAATGTCAGCTTTGTTGGATAAACAACTCTAAGTTGTTGTAGTGTGTCAGCTATTGTTAAGTAAAGCCTTGAAGTGAAGATTTTACAGTTAAATGAGGATAAATCAGTGTAAAATGTATAGAAAGATAATGACAGAGCAACAGAGAAAGACAGGTGATCTTAGCATCTTTTATAAAGATAGAAGAAGTGGTGTTGTGATGCCAGAAGATGAATTTTTGCCAAAGGATAAATGCCTTACTCTTGCAAATTGAGTTCACCCAAAAATGGGCCAGTATTGCAACTTCTGCTGGCTTCAGGGAGTGAGGATCATTATGAAATTAACATTAGCCACAGCAGAGGAACAGATTTACCCCACAGATGGGTGACACAACTACATAAAATTATGCAGTTCTTTATTTTATTACTCCATCATGAGAATTGAACAACTATGTCTCTGCCTTAGCCATCCTAGGGAAAAAATATAAGTAGGAAATCAGCAGGGATTTAGAAGACCCAGCGCTGACTGAAAAATCCCTGCTTGCACTCTGCACTACACCACTGGATATGAGACGGAACAAAATCCCCCCAAAGTCTAGACGCTGGGATTGGTAGAGTCAAGACACCAGGTGGAAAATACTTTATATACATTATGTGTCCGTCTCTGCTGGTTTTTGGGACAACAGAAAATATCTGCAAACCCAACACTGACATAATATTAGCACATTTTAAAGTTGACATAGTGAACATGTTCAGATGATTATCATAGACATTCAAACGTAACTTACCATTAAAGGTCCAGTGTCTAACATTTAGGAGGCTCTATTGGCAGAAATGGAATATAATATTGATAACTATGTTTTCATTAGTGTATAATCACCTGAAAATAGGAATTATTGTGTTTTTGTTATGTTAATGAGCCTTTTATTTATAGTTGCTGCAGGTCGCCTTCCATGGAGTCTGCCATGTTAAACCACCATGTTTCAGTGGCTGTAGATGGGGCCAGCGTAGTTTTTCCTACCACTTCACAGCCCGTTCTCATTCCCAGGTCTTCAAATACAGACGCCAGCAGTGTTCAGTCAGTTGTAATCTGAAACTTCATCGTTACAGATGCCAGTAAATCTTACACACTGGTCTTTTAAAAAGGAATAATACAAAAAATGGGTGTCATTTGGTGCACTGCTCCTAAATAAAGTTGCAAAACAGCAAACTTCCACTGAAAGCAAAGCTAGATGATTGTGTGCTTCCAGGTCTCGTTAATATTACTGTGAGACGGAAAAGCTAATAATCTGCAACGCTATAATGGAAACAGAGCTGAGCTTGTTCTCCTCAGTGTTTTCAGTTTGCGCCTCTCTGTTCTGTTTATTAAGTGGCCAAGCATCATAAAGACTGCGGTGACACGCTGCTCTGCAACTCAACAAGTGGGACCCAAAACACACGTAAGCGCTCTTTGGAAAATTTACACTTGCCACCACCCTCAGATCTAAATGCCTTGATGTCGCTGGAAGACTCCCATTTCATTTCATTAATTTCGTCACAGACGTTTTTGATGCTCTCTTTAAGGTCACCCTGGGGAGACCGAGTGTGGTGTGGTACCCAGCCAAGCAAAAGTTCACGGCATCTGTGACTGATCCTCCTCTTACGTCACACAGGAGAAAGGAGAAGGTTTGGGAGAAAGAGAAAGACAGGCTTCTAGTGATGCTTTGAGAAAAAAAAAATGGATAAAGAGAGAGATTTTCAGAGTGGTCATCTGAGGACGAGGTTGGCTTCTTTTTGCTGGAGTTGTGGAACAAGGTGATTAGAGCAGCAGACTGCATGGAGAGCTGTGGCCACTGAGTCTCAACTACTGTGATGATTAAAGTGCTTGGAAAGAGTTGGAGAGAGAGGGAAAAAAGAAAGAAAAGGGGACTGTAGCAGTGCATGTGTGTGGATGGAGGACGGCTTTCCCCAGCCTCAGGACTAAATCCTTTTTCATCCTGATACTAGACTTGATTGAAAGATGCTTTATCATTTAAATGGTCGCACTGCGTTTGTCAACAACAATCTCCTTTTTTTACGAGGGAAATAGATCACAAAGTGGCATATTTTTATTTCTATCTGGGTGGGTTCGTTTGTGTTTGCTGTACAGTTGTCTTGATATACGTCCCTTTGGGTGCACAAGAGGTGTGTGTTGATCGAATCACGCTGAGGGTGATTCAGATTTGGAGTGGATCTGACACTATAATAGTCGGGATGTCAGCATTTATTTATTGAGTCTTATGATCTTAACATCTCCCAGAGCTGTTTTAGAGGAACACACACTTCCTCTATTTCTGAAATTCAGACAAGGAGTTTTCACACGTCCCAAAACGCCTTCAACAAATAAAGGAATTGAGCTATTGATGATACAGTTCCTCATTTCAATTAGTGGATAAACAGGCTATATTCCCAAGACATTTTTACATGTACCCACAACTTGGAGATTTTACCTGCAATCAGTCTGTATGTTCACAGATTTTAAAATATCTGGAAAACCCGGTTGATGGGAAAAAACTAGTGATAGTGCAACATGAAGAAGTTAATATTAGGGCAATATGTAAATCCTATTATCATTATTATTGGTCTCTAATTGTAGGAAGTTTGTATAATTTGGTGCCTGTTGTGAATGCAAACAGGAAGTATAACGTTGCCAGAGCAGTTAGCTCAACTTGAGGCCTGTTTTTTATTTCTTTACATTTTGGCACCATCAAAAGTATGCCAAATTAGCTATTAGCACTTTCTGTTTGTAATGTACCTGTGAATGTAAGTTCTGGAGTTACGGTATAAGGAGCCTCTGTATTAATCTGATTTCTAAGACTGTTTATGGACTTTTATAATTACATTCATGCTATACCCCTCTCTTTCTCTATGTCCTTTTTTTATAATGAATTAAGCATACCATTTTCTTTAAACAGCTGACTTTATTATGTGTTAATAAAAATGTTTAAAAAGAAAAACAGACAAGACTCAAGTGCTGTTCCCAAGTAAAATTATTTATTGAGCCATCACTGACGCTTTACTGGGTCTGGCAGCAGCTGTACTCATTTTGTTTCAGAAACAAATCCCATCACCACTGCTGGACCCTCTTCGTTGGCAGTAAAGGTGATGGGACGGGAAGACTTTTGGTGGCCAGTGAAGATAATCAAGTAATGACTAATTAGTGACAGCGCTATGAAATATTTATTGATCTGTGTTCATTTGGGAGACAGCAGTGTGTGCTGTGAGAATATTTGTGCCATAAGCTTTTGGATTTTGATGGATTTTTATTAACTTTTAACCACTAAAGAGTTTGAAAACCCATTTAGCACAAAAAATATACTTGAAATGTTTAGTATGCATGAACAGCAGCCAAGCACATTATAAATGTGGTCCTTTATGCAAGAGTTTCCTCTCCATATTAAGCTTTTCCATGACTTGTGGTGAAGCTCCTGAATTCCCATAGCGAGTGTCTTAATTGGAACAAGCTTGTGGTCCAAGTTATCCTTCCTGTGCGAAATGAGCGCAAGACACAGTTTGGTGAGTCGTCCTGAGTGCTGAGAGAGCTGCGTTGGAAAGAAGAAATGCTCCCTCACATGAGAAGTTTCCAGGTTTTAGTAGTCAAGTATGAAGTGAAATCACACAACCAACAAAAGGAACAAATGATTGTTTGGTCATATATGTAAGTTTTTGAAATCCCGATCCATCCATTAACCCTATATTGTTAAATTTTGGCTCCTGGAGACCCCTAGCCCTCTTTAAGAGCCCAAAAAACAAACGTAACATTGTTTTTTATCAGTTTTATTCTTTATGATCTTCCCTAATTATATAAAAATTGCTTATAAACATGACTTTGAACAGATGACATGTTATAGAAGTCTTGTTTTGAAACATGGTTAAATACATTCATATGCTCTATATATGTGATTGGTGTCGACAGTATTTTTTTTTCTATATATTGGGTGTTAATTAAGTCAAAGGAAAAGATTTTAAGGACACAATTTTTGTTGATTTTGGAATTGTAATTATTTTTCCACACACAGCAGTGGGCTCTGTAGAGTGGGTGTCAGTATGATGACCTAACTTTTACCTGAAGAGGGCGCCCTCACAGTTCAATCACCTGGCTGTGCAGTAAAGGTGAGATAGATAGATAGACAGATAATATGAATCTTACGATTTTAGAGACACTGAACTCTAAATTGTCCTGTTGTATATCTTTTAATATTGCTTCATACTCAATGAAAACAAAGGCCCTGTAAGGGTTGAGTGTTCAACAAACAGGAGGCCTACAGCAGCAGCTCCTGAAGCTCCAAACGCATCTTTTCCACATTACTCAAACTCTGCTAGTCAGACACGGTGTAGATAATATCCCGAGGCTAAAATCTGACTGTCTCCCCGGCAGCTGGAAAAACGCTTTGTGTGTTTGTCTCCTCGGGTTCTTCTGCTCACACACCGAACATCAAACAGAAGAAGAAGAGCCATTGGCTCCGAGGAGTCGATGACGGAGGGAGCGCACTGTCTTCTCCAGGAGCGCATTAGCCCTCTCTCTCTCTCTCTCTCTCTCTCCCTCACACACACATACAGACACACACACACTCTGCACCTCCAGTGGCATGACACCAGTGTGTCGGACTGGGATGCAGGTTTAAGTGGAGAACTTTTTTTCCTTTCCTCTGCTGTTATTATGTTTGCTATTATTTTTGGAAAGGTGGAGACCTGTTAGGACGAGCGCGTTTTCTCTCCATCCAGGAGCGCGCAGTGTGGCACACGCTGGAACACAAAAAAACAAGCTCAGTGCAGCGAGTGTGCAGCGCAGGCAGGTTTCCGTTTTAAAAAGCAGCAGGAGAGGCAGGAGAGTTACGGAGTCTGCGGGGAAGCGGCGTGTCGGTGCATGAGAGAAGACGGAGACCTCTCCTAGATAATAAAAAAAAAAAGAAAAAAGAAAAAGAAGAACCGGGATACTGAGAAGGGATCAGCGGCTGGAACTTGGATATGGCGGGTGTGAAGACGGTCGACCTTCTCGTTGGAGTTGTTTTAGTTTTGCAGTGTGTGGGGAATGCCCGAGCCGAAATCACAGCCAGTAACGGTAAGAACCAGCAGCAGTCCAACATTAACCAGACCTGTTCGGACCGAGTTGTTTTATTAACACAGAAGTCAAATGCGTCTGCAGGAGAGGTTGATTCGTCCTCCTCACACAACTATCAGACACAGGTGGAGTGTGGTTGGAATTTGCATAAGAATTTTTTTTGGCTCTGATTGCATCCTTTGTTGTTGCATAAAACGTCTATTTATCAAAATGACAGCAGAGCTTCTGTGTTGTAAGACAAAGAGAAGACAGACACCCTCAAGGCTTGTTTCTCTTTCATTATCTTATTTTTAGGAATAGAGGAAGCTGTCATGACCTACTAACTCCCTTTTTTTCTGTCTAGATCAAAGACATTTGTTTAATTCTAATTATCATATTTTCACAACTATTGTAAGTTTGAGTTAATTGCCTTGCCTTTTTACATCTTTGCTCATGCATTTCCCCCAGGCTGCACTGATTATTACTGTATACTGTACAGTAACACAGTCAGTCTATGATACGGAAATCTGTGACACTCTCTCTTACTGATAATGCAAGATTTTCCTCTCTGTTATGACCTGAACATCCTGTAACCTTCTGCAACTTTCAGCAGAATTAAGATCCGTTACGACTGGATAGTGCAGGTGCTTTTCTCTGTAGAAGGTCCTGCAGAGGAAATGCTGGATGCCTGCATGCTCTGTCCCTCTTGATGTCCTTGATTGCAAGAGGGTGAATATCCCTACTGTCAAGCCACAGCGTGTGCACCTCAAGTCCACTAATCTCAATCTCTAGTCCATCCCATACGCTGCGCACACGCACACGCACACACACACACACCCTCAGACAGACGGTGGAATAAGTTCATGCCAATATCGGTTCTGTTCACACAGGCGAGCTCTTGTTTCCCAGGGCTTTTATTGCTGGCAGCGAATTTTCATCACATATCAGATAGTGGTTAGAGAAATGTTCGGCTGCTGACAGTGACTGTAAATTAAAACCGTGTGTGTGAGTGTGTGTGTGTGCAGACCACAGAGTAACTGGAATGTATGGCTCTGTTTGGGAGAGAGAGAGAGAGAGAGATGCTATCGGTCGCGTGTGACCAGTCGCGCACACACGCACTTTTTTATTTTCACACAGTCGTACTCAGTCTTATTTATGAATCTAATCAATCTGCTGGGCTGCTGCTGCACTCCGGCTCATTTGACATCAATGCTTTAGTGGAAAACAGCAGCTTGTTTTCCTTTACACAACCAAGACAAGAGACAACAAGCTTCATGGGAAAACGATCCGAATGAGGCTCATTTTAGAGGTTGCAGATTGAGGAAACCTCCAGAACACCAACAAACATAAACGTTTTCCCTCCCTGCATGCTTCATCGCTCCATCTCCTGCTCGAGCTGGACACATTTAGTATGTAGGACAGTATTTTTAGACATCTGGGCGAGGTGCTTCCCTTGTCATAGACTGACCTCGACTCTTAAGGAGCAGTCCCTCTCCTTCCCTAGATAGGCTTTTATTAATAGAGTGCAGGTGGACTCCTCCACTCTCTGGAAGTCCACTGGAAAGATATAATGCACCATTCAGTAACACAAAAAGGTTTCAGACTCCAGCAGAGTCTGAGATGTGAAGACCGGTTAAGGCATTCATTTCCCCCTCATTGCATTTATTAGTTAGATGAGCTGTGGAGAACATCTGGGTGAAATTACACAACATCCTGTGAGCTCAGTGCATCAGGGTTTTTTTTTTAAATAAGCTTTCAGTCTGTGATGTTCACCCGCTGATACTGTCACCAGTGGCACACTCACAAAATTGGGGCTGATTTCGGGGTTAATCTGCACTCCGGTGCTTCTCTCCGAGTGGAAAAAGAGATGTTCCACTAGAGTCTGGAGTGTGTCTGTGAAAGAGGGAGAGCGTGAGAGAGAAAGTCTTGCCTGGTGTAACGATGTGGTTTGATTTAAAAGCCTGCGCCAAGGGCTGTTAATGTGCTAAGATTGCGGTCGTGTGTGGAATTTCATTCGTTGTGGATGGATGCTCGGAGTTGTGTTTCTTTGTAGGCGAGGGGAGGTTGATAGAGGGTTAACTAGCTCACAGGCAGCGAAATGGACGTCTCCAGCTCCAAAGCGCCGTTCCTCATCCATCATACTGCCAGCAGCTGCCTCTGCAATCATACAAACACACTCAGAGGCACGTAGGAGTGTGAACTGCAGAGGAACATGCAGGCTGCCCTTCATGATGAGGGTTGGGTTCCGATAGCTAGGTGCCATTTTGGATCCGGTTCCAAGTTAGTAAAATACCTTGAGCTCCATGGCCAATGAATCTGTTATCTAGCCTCTCATTCACAATCTCTCTTTAGTTACTTCCTCTCGCCTCTCTTTGACACTACAGGTGTTTGCAGAGGAAATAGAACAACTGATGAGGTGTACGAATGTGTGCTTGAGTGGAAATGCTGGAGATTTCCACTAAAAAGTTTAGATATGGCCAAATAATTTATGAGTAAGCTGCAAAAAGCAAACAAAATGGGACAAAATGCAATGGAAACAGATATGACCTACATGAACTTCCACTGCTTAAACCTTAGAAACCTTAAAATCTTTTGATTACGTCATCTCGTTGTGGCCTCTGATGGTTTAATGGGACCCAACTGGAGAACTAGCATCATCGTCTGTTTATCCTGATGCCTCCAACTCTAAAGTCTCTAAAGATTTATCCACCATCCATCATTTTTGATAACTTAAGAGCTCTGCCTCAGGCTGTTGCCAGTGGAAGTTTTGTTTTCTTGTTGATGTGTGATAAGTGTATCGCAGAAAAACCTGAACGATTAATTAATATCATCTGTTGCTTTTACTTTATAATCTATGGCTCCTGCAGCTGCTGCACAGCCCCCAGCGAGGAGCAAACACTCACAGTAAAAGGATTTAAATGAGTCAGGACAGAGTTAATGAATGTCACAAAATAAAAGGCCTACACCCTTTCCACATAGTAGAATCTCGGTGGTTTAGGCCTGATATGTAAATACAGTACGTATTACGGGATGCCTTCATTTCCCAGCAAACAAACTATTGAAAAAGATTCTATAAGGGGTTTGGAAGGATTCGGAACTGGATTCAGATTTGGTAAAAGGCTACCAACCCATCCCTTTTCATGACTAATGCTGCTTTGTCACTCTCTTCTCTTTGTCCTGCTGGAGGGATGATTCCCGACATAAACTGTTGGCAGAGAAGTTCTTTCCACAAAATGGGAGGTCCTGCTCAGTCTACTTTAGTGAAGAGATTGTAAGCCTTCTTGGAATCTCTCCCCCGTTGGCCCTCCCTCCCTCCCTCCCCCGTCTCTCCCTCTTTCTGACATTGCACATTTCAGAACGGACAGAATGAGCTAGCCTCTTTATTGGCCCTCTGAATGACCTGCTGAAAGGATCTGCCATGAATGGATGACGGGGGTGGGGTGGTATGAGGGGCTGAGAGACGGGGAGGGGTGGCGGCGGTGGCGGTGGCGGCGGCTAGGGGTTTATATGCTGTATGCAGCCACAGTGGGCCATGCCATACACCACAGAGGCAAGGAGGTAGGGTCCCCCCTCCCGTACCAGCATGCAACAGCAGCACCAGGCTCCTGCATTAGTCATGCCTGGCCCTTGTCGCTGAGCTCCCTGCCCCTTCTACTCCGGAAAGAAGCTCGGGCTGACGGCTTGAGAGGGCAGGAGCTGCACACAGAGTTCAATAGGCTCTGAGACAAAGAGCAAAGAGGCCACTGGTTAATGAAACCCAGCGCAGTTAAGCTCCTCTTTAGCTTTTCCTCATTGTCTTTCATGTGGTTCAAAAGCTCCTTCACTTCCAATTGTTGCGGTGCTCCACCAGAGTTATCATGTCCTGGAGTAATTGCTCCCTGGCATTTTCTACTCGCGTGCGATTTATTCAGTTTATTCAAAGCAAAAAAATTATGGATCCTGTCCATCAAGAAAGTCTGAAAAGGTCAGCGGCGAGGAGCAGGGGCCTCGTTAGGAGGCGATACAGATCTGAATGTCAGCGGTCAGTCAGAGATGACAAGCATTTTCCATTCATGATAAACATCCCTTTTCCACAGATGATTGCAAAGCTGCCAGACCGCAGCGTGGTCCACAGTCAGGCTGTTATCTGCTCCTCCTGTTGACTCTGCTGCGGGATGCTGCCAGAAGAGATGCTAGATTGTCAGCTGAGGAGTGAAATGAGTAAAATTGTTTTTATTTAGATGCGCTGGGTTGCTTTTTCTTCTGCCTGGAGGGGGACAGTTTGAGGAGATAACGAGGAGAGGGAGGAGGCTCGGAAAATAGGCAGTTCCTCCTCTTTACTTGCTGAAGAAAAGAATTACAGCAGCATAATTACAAAAATGTTACACTGTTAAGCATAGTGAGCGATGATTAACAGCACAGGAGGAACAATAAATGGCAGGAATATTAAAGGACAATTATTCCCTTGGACACTCTTTATATATTGTCAAACTAATGTTCAGCAAGGAGATCCATGAATCACTTTAAAGTAAAGAAACTGCCTGGTTCATTTAATGCCTTTATTTATTTAATGACTTTCGAGAGTGGGAAGTGTATACAGTAGCAGGATCTCAAATGTGCCTGATATAGTCTTAACTTTCTGTTGTCTAGTTTTGTTTGTTTGTTTGGTTTTTTAGGCTCCATGACAATGAGGGCACATACAAATGCCAGCATGTTGTGGCGACCCAAACCCGGAGTTACAATGGCAACTGCTGCAGGGAAAAGGCAACAAAAGATGCGAAAAGAAAGGATTTAAGGAGTCATTTTAATCATATTTTGTAAAAATTTGGTAAGTTTGAAAGAAAGAGAAGATGATGGCAGGTTTTAGAAGATTAGTCCTTCAAACAAAATGCATGAAACGTGTAGCGGTTTTGTGCACAAGGGTGGACTTTTCCTTAGAAGTCATCTAATCTGCCCCATGTTAATACCAATCACATGCACAATGTCTGTTTGTCTAGTCCTGTCTGCATGCTGAGGAAGACTGCTGGACACTTGTTATGGGT